TCGCCTGGCCGTCCGAATCAGAATGACTCACCAAGACAACACAATGGGCAACGTTCTGTCGCTGATACTGGTTCCAAGACCTCAGATTCCACACACGTGATTGTGTGTGGAGTTAACTATTAATTTTCTCAAAAAACTACGGGTATACGCAGCCCCAAACGCTGTACTGCGAACACCGCTTAAGGACCCGAACGTCAGTCGATCGCCCTATGCAAAGTCCCCTTTAAGCGTGCGTTGAAACTTGGTTCCGCGTGCTCATCCCCACAGGTTTATGAGTGAGGGTGGTTGACTATGGTAAGCCCATTGTGACTAGGCCTGCTCGCACTCGGTTGAGCTGCAGAGAGTGTCGCTGGGATAGCCGCATTAAGTCGTGGGTAGATCAAGAACACTTGCAGTCTCGTAATCCGTGAGCAGAGCTATCCTAACTTTACTTGTACTGGTATATAGTGTGTATAGTCTATCTTACGAAATATCACTGAGACCACGTTTATTTCTCCACTTCCGTTCAATTCAAGGCAAATGTCAACCCAATTTATGATAGACTTGATGTCGGTGTGCAGAAGCCGCATAAAACATCATTTTGACAGCTAAAATGATGCGAAATTCTATCAAGACCATTCCAAAACCACATGGAAAGACTAACGAAGATTAGGATACAACTTATTTTGTGATTTCGTATATTCTAGCAATATATGCGTGATCCTCTATACATCAGAAAATGACTTGATTGTTTTCATTTACCTATGCGAAAACCAGGCTTTTTAGTTGTTTTACAGGTTTTTGTAACATCATCAGGTTCACCATGTGCAAGTTTATTCTTTCAAAAATCGATACACCCAATTGGTCTAGTATATCTTAATGCACTTCCAGTGAACAAAATGGTTTTTACTCACGGTCTTTACTCCCTGGAAGGTCATCCCTTAGAATTACTGAAGTCAGTAGGCTTTGTTTGAACGAAGCTCCGATGTGGAGAGAATCCCTTGCTATACACAATGACGTGCCCGTGATCGTGGGAACGCGTGAGTAAATTTCACGTTTGACTCCTAGCTCATGATGTTATACATATATCCCTTGGGGTTTTATTTCATCTACTGCGGTAGGTGCATGGTTTCAAATATCCTTAAGGAAAGTGTTTCATTCTAGTGTTCATGTACAATTGTGACGTGATTTGGCCGAGCATCCGTCGCTTGAAACTAAGCGGCAGCAGCTGAATCCGTTCCTCCCAAATATGATATTGCTTGGTGTCCCGGCAAACGGTTGTATTAACAGACCAGCAATAGAATGGTAAGTAGGTAATAAGGATAGTAGTTGTCAGACAACATTATGAAAAGAAATAAGGAGCAAAGAAATCTATGGCCAAAATGCCAATCCAAACAATCGTCCTAACGCTATGTTGAATGTAAGGAGTGCAGTTAGTTAGGTGCCCCAAGTCCGGTTCGAAACCTAGCTGTGTAGTGGTAAACGGGTCTCGTAGAAAATGCGCATCTGTGGCCTAATCGCTTCACCCTGACGGCTGCAGTTGATGCAAATTACCAAACCTACGAATTCAGCTTCCCTGCACTTTGTTGAATGCCTCACCGCTGGATAGCTTTAGATACACTTCTTTTGAATTTCTAGTCTAGTTTGCGGAGAGCATCGAAGGTGAAAATTCACCCGTGGGAATGTGTGGACAGTGTCGTCTTCATTTTCAGTGTATCGAAATTTGAACGCGTCAGTAGCTGCACCGAAATGCCGCGCCACCCAATTGACATTGTAACCGCACCACCAGCGAAGCACCTACACACTCAAGCGCTCAGTGTCAGGTTGAACCGGCTCATCGTCGTCCGCCGGCGTTGTCACATGTTTCTCTCGCTTTCCACACGATCGGCTCTATTCCCAGCTGTGGCTACACCAGTCGTGTTTTGTGACAGCACTTCATCACTTGCCTTACCTGCTGCCTAGGCAACACGGTGCGTGAGATTACTAGGTCAGCCTCGAGCTAACCGGGTCTGCATACGGCTATCCCGGCTGCGTTCGCTGTCACTCACACAGGCCTGTGAGATCTTGGTTAAGTCGGCTTGCTCACGGATTAGTGGGTATGTCGCACAGCCCCGCAGATCAACAGACACGTTGACGCATGGGCTTTGTTTTGGGTGCTTTAGGGGCGTGTACAGTGGGGCTTGGAGCAAGGAAACCTCTGGACCGAGACTTGTGAATGTCGCGACCTAGGGTTTGGTCCACTGTGTTGCGGTGGCAACTTTTGAGAGCTCTAACACGCGACGGTGGCCAATCCCAGTCACATGTACATTGCGCGAAATACCGTATGCCTTACCTGCTGCCTAGGCAACACGGTGCGTGAGATTATTAGGTCAGCCTCGAGCTAACCGGGTCCGCATACGGCTATCCCGGCTGCGTTCGCTGTCACTCACACATGCCTTGCCACAGTGGGATCTTGGTTAAGTTGGCTTGCTCACGGATTAGCGAGTATGTCGCACAGCCCCGCAGGCCAACGATCCCGGCTGCGTTCGCTGTCACTCACACAGGCCTGTGAGATCTTGGTTAAGTCGGCTTGCTCACGGATTAGTGGGTATGTCGCACAGCCCCGCAGATCAACAGACACGTTGACGCATGGGCTTTGTTTTGGGTGCTTTAGGGGCGTGTACAGTGGGGCTTGGAGCAAGGAAACCTCTGGACCGAGACTTGTGAATGTCGCGACCTAGGGTTTGGTCCACTGTGTTGCGGTGGCAACTTTTGAGAGCTCTAACACGCGACGGTGGCCAATCCCAGTCACATGTACATTGCGCGAAATACCGTATGCACACAAGACAGTCATATAAGGACAAGCTAAGAATGAGTCCAAAACTTTACGAGCATGGGACAATTGTCCACACACTCACATTCAATTACTGTTTTCTGCAACATCGACTCCTGGATAAGTGAGGTCAAGGTGAACCTTTCCAATAGCTGACCTAAATGGGTCTCAGTTATCCAGTCATAGTGATATTGGCAACCGCACTGCTGTTTACCAAGATCGGAGAGACGAACATGATGGTTTGTGGTCAATGACGCTGTTGACTAGAGTAATTAAGTATGAGAGATTTCCTGTTTCCGTAGGATGAAGAACCCGCTACTCGTGAGTTTGCTGAAGGCCCTTCGGTAACCCACGAACGGTTTCATCCTTCTCGGCAGGCACAATCCCAGAGCTCCGGTCATCACTATGTTCTACTTGAATCTGAAATTCACGAAAAAATTCGCGTGTATCTTATGGATCTATTTTGTTAACAAACGAATCAGTAAGTGGTTTTAGTGCTGATTGAAAATTGAAGCGGAGGATGCGACCGCTGGATAGTTTGGGACTGGGTCAAACCTAGGAGCTAACGATTGTGTTAGGGTGTAGACCGCAGGGGCGGCTGGTCACTGGATGAGATATGTTTGCACTAATCGAATTGGTTGGATTTTCGTTCGCGTGCATGGTGTGTGCCTGGGTAGCTGGGCAGGGTAGGTCGAGGCACCAGCTGATGCACGAGTGGCTATCCGTCCCGATTAACTCTGCAAAGTTGACGGAGCAAATTAAATCAATCTAACTCTACGATGAGATTCGTTGTTTGCATTCACCTAACACTGGAATAAAGGTGAGATAAGATTGGCTTACACAGATATTTTATCTGTGGTCTCCTGTCTTGCGAGCACGAACATCTAACTATGTGTATAAAACTGCATGAGGGTCTCACTTTTGGAAGATTAAATTTCGAGGTCCTGAAAGAGCACATTACGTATTTGGTCCAGATGTCCCACTTGAGGATAAACACCCGAGGAATGAGTACATTGTACACAATTAACAAAGCCAGTGGTTGTAAACTCATGTTGAAGCACTGTTCAGGGAGACGCAGACAGACAATAATTTCGCATTTCACAGAGAGTTCCGGGTTCGCCACTATCAAGAGGGTCAGCTTCCTCGAAGCAACCACTGAATGCCCGAAATCTACCGAGACTCTCAACTCCGCTAGATCTTGACCGGATAGACAACGCCCCCTCAATATGCAGCGCTTCACAGCCTTGTATCAAACCCAGACAGCGCGAGTCAGCGTTGATCAGGGTCAGCAAAACGCCCCCGCAATATGCAGCACGTCGCAGCCCCTTACCAAAGCCAGACCGTGTGCATCAGCATTGGACCAAGTTCAGGCAGGGCCCTTCCAATAAATAGCTTAAGACCGTTGTACTTTTTGCATTCGCACGCACTCACGCTCTCGCACTCGCTTGTTCGGAATATAGCGGTTTTGTTCCCTTCTGTGAGTCTTTTTTCTCCGGCACTAGGCACTGGAGCGGGTCAGCAGCAGACACCAAAGATTGACGAATCAGCAGATATAACAGCCACTTAATGCCAAACAGAGCACAGCAAACGACTGCACACCCTGTCTCCACCTTGGAATGCTAATTAACATCTTGTGAGGCGTTTCTTGCCTTTGGAAAAAGTAGGAGTTGACAGCAACTTTTCTGCGAGGTTCATCATTTCAACGCAAGCAGCTTACTTCTGTTCCCTCCGATTGGCATTCTCGGTTCGCCTTAACTTTCGTGCAAATTCCATATGTGTCTTGTCACACAAATCATGGTGTGAATGGTCTGTTTTAAACGGAAATGCCAATCCGTATATTATAGTTTTTGTACAGTGGTAATAGGGCTCCCTGTATCTTGTTGCAAACAGGTTTGCCACAGAAAACTTTGACTTAAATTTCTGTTTGTCATGTGAAGAGGAAGTTTCATAATTCCGATCTTTTGTGGTTCAGCGGTTCAAAGATATCGATTGTATTTGATCGGAACTCACAGCGATGCCAATTATCAGCGAACGCAAATCAACAATTAGGTGAGAAAGATACTACTTACTCTGATGTCTGAGGTAAATTCTCGGAACCGCCAGGGGACCCTGTCCCTTCTGTGAAAAAGACAAGAAACACGTCAGTTAGACCACTGTCTTCTTCATGAAGTTTGAAAGACCTGCTCCTCTGAAAATTACTTCAACCTACCGTCGACTTGTCGGCACCCTCAAGTTTCAGCACATAGTTCCCGTCATCGATATTTTCCCTGCTCGGGACCATAATTCGATGCCACCGACGCCGACGGACCATGTCCACTTTTCGTTCTTTGGCATGGAACTTCGCATCGAAGTTAAACGCATATTCCCAGGCGTCATCTGTTTCCGGCATAAAGGTCTGAAAAGATATAAGTGCAAGGGTGAAATGGGACTCAACTTGCGACATCACGCGCCGCCTGAATTACGGAACATCAAGGTACGGTACACGCCTTACCAGACTGCAGGATAAACTCAGCGATAAATGTGAGGGTGCTTTTTTATCACCCCTATCTACCTGTGGTGCTGGGCCTTTCTCTTCCAATTATATCCAGAGCATCTTAGATTGTAAGCTATACGAAAATCAAGCGTATCGGCACTTGTTATTTAAGAATCTGACAGCTGGACAATTGCCAGAACAACTCCTAACGTTGACGATTCTCAAGGAGGACCTGATAATTACCAGATGACGGGCTTGGTTTTTTAAAGGGCGAATAACAAAAAGCAGAAGCAGTTTGTCCGGAAACAGCACGCTTCGCGCCGTGTGGGATTCATTTGATATACGATGAAGGTATTAGTCGCCTGATATTGGGATCCGAAATTCACACTTGTCAATCCAATAACAAGTGGCTGCCCGTTTAATTTGAATGCAATGTAAGAATTAGGTAATTCTACATGGTTCAGCACATGCGTCCAAATCGTTCAGAAGTCGGACGACCAATAATCGGTCAGATTTCTTGCTGACGAAACGCTAAATAGATAGCTTCTTCAGATTGAAGCATTTCAGCTTTTTTAAACTTGTGCGTCAATAAATTACCTATTGATGAACATCTAGCCATCGGGCTGCTCTGCACAAGTCAGCAAATGTCCTGTAATCGACAGGAGTGAAGTTTGTGAAGTTTGTGTGGTTTCGTCAGAAAAAACTAAGCTTATCCCTCTTAAATGAGCTGCAAGCATTCACCGTCAATAAAACCTCAATTTCGAAGCCTGGATAATTGTTCTGGTGACTGAAAGTGGAAGTATGTCCCCCAAATCACACGGCTGTTGCTAAGTTCCTTCCTTCCGCACTGCAGCGTGGGGCATTCTCTGGTAAACAGTACTTCTATGTTGCAATTGTACAACATTAATCAGTCAACAATACCGAAAGTATTCGTATAACACGTGAGGAAAAGCGAGTTTAATCGAAAGTAAATCTTTATTATTGATCGCGTTTGGTTTCTCGGACATTTGCATATTTCGTCACGGTGCACGTTCACTTTTATTGAATTTCCATACAGAATGGTTGACAAGTTTACAGAACGGGAATCTTTATTATTGATCGCGTTTGGTTTCTCGGACATTTGCATATTTCGTCACGGTGCACGTTCACTTTTATTGAATTTCCATACTGAATGGTTGACAAGTTTTGGAGACAGAACGGGCCATAATTGTCCACAATGCCTGAACTTATCTTTTTCTTGAATTTTCGACATTTGTGGTTGGTAATATCCTGCCCTTTCGCTCGTAACCCCTTCCTATAAATATATCACACTGTTCCAACTATTTTGATCAAGAACTATCAGGCGTAAATTGTCTTGTAACCGTAAGCAGTTCCGCACTAGCATTTATCTGTCTTCGCGTTATATGTTAGTGAGCACCCGAAACATTCACAGATCACCGCTTAGTAACCCAAATGCAACGGCCTTTCATAATTCACAAGTGTAGATGCTTCATTCTTGTTTACCACCTGTGAATGAAGTATGCCACGGAATGAACAGTACTCCAGGGGCAAATGTCAAACAATTGTGAAACCAGGATGCTGGTAAGCAAAGTCTTGTTGCCAACGTGCCAAGCGCCTTGAATCTTGTCTACCACCTGTGAATGAAGTATGCCACGGAATGAACAGTACTCCAGGGGCAAATGTCAAACAATTGTGAAACCAGGATGCTGGTAAGCAAAGTCTTGTTGCCAACGTGCCAAGGCGCCTTGAATATCTGGCCCATAAGCCGTATTCATTAAGTCTAAATGGTCTAACCAGTATCTGTGGTCCTGAGATTTTAATCGGGCATAGCTTTTATGTCAGTTTGTGATGACTGGGCGTTGGAGAAACGTGTGAAAGGTTAACCTCAAAAAGACGAAACAACCCATGATGAAATTAGTCACAAGACAATTGAGGTTTGTCAGAATCCCCTTTGATATATCTATTTCGGTCTTATTGTCTTCTTGAAACGAGCTCATGAATTGCGTATATGGTAGACCCTAGCAAGACCACTGCTTTGGGAGATTCACGTTGTTGGAAAGCTCACAGGTGTTTAAGCCGCACTACAAATCGGTAGACTTTCACCCAAAAACTCAAACTGCTGGAGAACAATATAGAAAAACGTTTACTTGTACCCACTTCTTTTTTTATTATCACAGAGGTTTCTTGGAGTATTCTCCGACGAATAACCCTGCGTCGCCGAAACATGTGGAAGCGTTTCTCCACAGACATATACCCTCCAAGCGCGGCATTGACTGTGTACTCAAAGCCTTCATTGTCACATGGTCGATTGTAGTCTATCTCCCAATCCCCGTCCCAAACCCAACCATCAGGCAGAGGGAAGTCGACAGGGCTCTCTCTGGCTTCCCCTTGTGCATCTGTATGAGTAGGTAGCGCAGGTGCCCAAGTGGTGGTCGCGGTTCGTTGTTCGTTGTAGAACAAATCTTCCACAAAACTGGTTTGTCCGCAATCCTACAAAGATGAAACGCAAACGATAGGAAGATAACAAAAAATGGCACATTGTTTCATTTAAGTGGAAGAAGACTGTTTGAATTTTCATAAGGAAAACTAGACACAAGGTTGTTGAAAACTCAACGACAGCCCATCGTCCTTCCACTGTGGGCGCATCACGTCGGCACAGTACCCGAGTTTCCGTTAAACTCACATTCTACTTGAACCCAAATTGCAGGAAATTTCAGTCAACACTCATCTGCATAAAAATTAGACTTCGATGGGAGACTCACAGATGAATCTCTCGTCTATGATATTCTTAAGCTGGGATACATTTAGGTCCACCGTTAAAACCGAATTAGCTTGCAAGTGAGAATAGGCCTTGGTTTCCGTAGTGTTTTTATCCCATTTATGCAAATACTTCTGGATCGAAGGAAGTGTCACCTAAAGGAGGGGTTCAAGATTTTAGGAGGTAAACATGGCACACAGGCTTGCAGACTTAAGCTACAGCAATAATGATTGTGTGACTGTTGGGTGGCCGAACCATTTTGCATCCAAAACCCGAATGAGTGCAAATCTTATTCTCCGTAATGAAATTTCCCTTATGGGTGAGAAAACTTTCAAGAAGGGATGTCCCCTGCGCGTACGCTGAAAAAGATGCACGGAGCTAGGGGGTTGGAGCATGGGGGCGTACTACAGATCCACCAAATAGATTTTGGCTAGCGTTGTAGCATTCATTGTGCATTGCTGACCTCTCATTTATAAAACCTATAATATACCGCGCTACCGGGCATGTCAGGTCACACGAGTAACGACACGACCATTAACAGCCCACACTTGACCTCCCTGTGTTTGTCTCTGGTTGAGGTTGGGCAGAAGAATGAAACTAGTTTGACTGAATTCGAGAAATACACTCATTTGCAAATCAATTTGGTTTTCACGAGAGACTTAACTGAATCTCTCGTTTATGATATTCTACAACTGAATGTGCTGCACACAGGCCGCCTCATGTTTCAGTTGGTACGATATTCGAGATATCGCAGTATATGTTCATAAAGGAAACTACTCACGAGGTTGCTGAAAACTCCTCGACAGCCCGCAACCTGTTTCGCCCCTTTTGGGGCTCGTCAAATAGGCGCAGTCCCCGAGTTTCCGTCAATCTCATGTTCCACTTGAACTAACATTAGACTGTTTTCGAGAAATACACTCATTTGCAAATCAGTTTGGTTTTTGACTGAAATTTCCCCTGGCGGGAGCAACATAAGTTGACCAATGTATAAGCACACCGCCTAGTTAAACATGTCTATCCCGACCAGTCGAAAAACGTCAAGCGTTTCACCATGAAAGTGTAGTTTTGTCGGGCACTTTGCTAGTGTTAGTACTGTTTATTGATCCTTTCAAATCAGCTGACTAACGAAAAATTTGTTCGATTGATAGCCACCGCATATACGTTTGATGCGAAAATCATTGGACTACTGATATCTTACTTTTCTGTTTTACAAAATATACTACTTCTTTTTTAATGCCGTGGATACATCTTGTTTTATAAAATAGCATGGTAAATAAATAAAGTCAGTGTAGGTCGGGGGAATATCATAAACCTTCAACACAGAAGTAACTAGCTCCGTTTGTTCTCATCTATATCACACCGGTAAGTATAGGAAATTAGGCATATTATTAATAAGGCGTAATAACCGTCATACTCGGCTTTACGAAAGATGTCAATCCTAATGTGCAATCTGGAACCAATGAACAAACATCCGGAAAACCAAAGGGAATGACTTGGGTATAGGAATAGCATGTTCATAAAAACCGTCATGCACAGAAAAGTGATCAAAAGAGCAAAGAACCTTTCTGTAGAGAGATGAAATTTCCGGATTTATGAACCAGTCTCCTGACCACTTCCATCCAGGAGGTAAAGTGAACGATTCTTTTGTAAGCTCCAAACGTCCAGTGGTATCCGACCATGGAGGCCGAGTTAATGGTGGCCTGGTGGTGACCCATTTTCCGACTATCGATGCTTGGTTCTCATACTACAAATAAGAAAGTAGGATGGGGTAAAATATGGTCTGTATAATAGAAATCAGCCAAAGCGTAACATCCAATCTTACTATCGGCATCAGCTTTGAGTAGCTCGTCGATTAAAGCGAAATGCACACTATTTCTTAGGTGATGAGGTGCAGAACTCCGTGCCTCAAACAAACCAACTTAAAAAGGGCCGACCATTAAGACCCATTCAAAACTGATCATTGACTACCCGCTCTTAGATGCTCCAATTCAAGCCATTGTTTCTTACTTGGCTTACTTGCTAGCGGAAGGCTCTGATACAATGGAGTTTTGAAGATTTTGTGAACCCCAATCTTTCCGGTTTCGTTTTGCTGCACCGGTTTGGCTTCACTTTCCAGTTCTCTGTTCCTCAGTTGATTACTTCAACAAAAGATGGCTGTGTGCACAACGTGATAACATGAAATAGCCAGTACTGTGCAGTTTGGGGCACGATCTCGAGGCGTTATTTATGAAAACAGTACAGGACTAATAATTTTCTCTTTTGAGCTGTTCAGAACAGTGTCATATATCAAACATCATGTCAATAAGACATCAGGCTCAACGCATTCCTTTATCATATTTTCCTTTCGACATCTGATGATTGGATGAATTTCCAAAAGATACTTGTTATCTCCACGAGCAAACCGACAAAGTTCTAATCTGTCATTGAACTACCAAGAAGCACTCCGTTTAAAGCCACTTGCACATAAAAGTGGTGCAAATCGGAGATATGAATGAGCTTTGCATGGATCTTTGTGGTATGATGCAACCGAACATGGGGCGCGGGTCAGCCTCAGAGTTCATTTTGGCTGAGATTCAAGATGTGAGACTATCGTTAGGGAACTGCCGCTATAGTCCCAAAACGGGGTAACGCCAGCTGTGGGTTGCTGGCAACTTTCGATGATTCCTACAATCTAATCTAGGAGAAAGTAGCGAATATACAGTCATTTACAAACTAATTTGGTTTTTCGAGAGACTCGCCTGGAACCCGGCTGAGTCTCTCGTTTGTGATATTCCCAGGCAAGTGAATGTGCTGCCTACCCGATGAGTCCCAAAAAGGGCGGAACTGGTCATGGGCTGTCGACGGATTCTCAGCAACCTTATGAGTAGTACTTACTAAGAAAAAGTAATTTAAATTCCACCTTTTTGTACAATGCTGTCATTTTAATTCTTTGCAACTTCTTCACTTTCGGGGGAGGGGTCTCTTGAGACTCTGACATGCACTTAATCGGTTAGCTCTCTATAACTTCGCCCGAAGGAATCCTATCCATTTACAGAACACTGATACTATAATCGGTGTACATTAGCGACCGGTCCTAGTATTTCCGATGAATGACGGTATTCCCTTAATCCAGTTGGACAAACCCATGCCTGAGCTGATACTCAGTGGGCATTTGCTTATTCTTTAACATTATCTAACTGCTGGAAGCTATGCAGAAGTATTCCCTGTGTTATTTTCAATTGCTTTACAGAAACAATACTACAGAGGCATAAGGCAGTAGACAGACAGACAGACAGACAGACAGACAGACAGACAGACAGACAGACAGACAGACAGACAGACAGACAGACAGACAGACAGACAGACAGACAGACAGACAGACAGACAGACAGACAGACAGACAGACAGACAGACAGACAGACAGACAGACAGACAGACAGACAGACAGACAGACAGACAGACAGACAGACAGACAGACAGACAGACAGACAGACAGACAGACAGACAGACAGACAGACAGACAGACAGACAGACAGACAGACAGACAGACAGACAGACAGACAGACAGACAGACAGACAGACAGACAGACAGACAGACAGACAGACAGACAGACAGACAGACAGACAGACAGACAGACAGACAGACAGACAGACAGACAGACAGACAGACAGACAGACAGACAGACAGACAGACAGACAGACAGACAGACAGACAGACAGACAGACAGACAGACAGACAGACAGACAGACAGACAGACAGACAGACAGACAGACAGACAGACAGACAGACAGACAGACAGACAGACAGACAGACAGACAGACAGACAGACAGACAGACAGACAGCAGGCAGACATACAGGCAGGCAGACAGGCAGATAGAAGACCACCACCTTTCTTTTACAAACTAACTTACCGTCTCTGCCATGACCTGTGTGTTGGCTTCCGTGTGGACATCTTTCCAGTTATGCTGATCCTTCTCCAGCCCTAGCCAAATCACCAAACGCAGCTGAGCAGGGATTTTCCACATGCTGCTATCTTCCTCTTTGTTGAGTCTGGGTTTCTGTAGGCGCATATTGACAAACAGGGGGAAGGTAAACGTCAAGTTAGTAAAGTATAGATGGTTCTACACTACTCGTAAGGTTAATGAAGACCACGAGCGGTTTCGCACTCCGTGGGGCGCGTAGTCCCCGAAACTCCATTTACTTTTCTAGTTACATGTACAGAAGTCTTGTTCAATATTCCTTTGCCAATAAAGTTGGTGTTGACGTGATACTTGCTGACATTCATCTGAACCTCTTGTTTGTATCATAGAAGATTAAAATGCATCACTGCTAGGTAAATCTTCTCCCATCAAAAACCAACGGACTGACAAAACTGTACTATGAAAAACCAATGAGAACGAGACCAAATGGCGCTATTTATGATACTTGAACGGCATTAATTACTGCTGCTTCTAGTAATATAGTTGAGGAGAAAAGAACATAGTTCTTGAGATTGCCAAGGAAATCAGTTGAAACTTTCCTGCTGGCACGCTGAAAGTGTGTTAAGTATTTTCTGATATTTATTTTGAGTAATCTTATAGGTGATCAATTTGAGTGTATGGAAGGGTTTGATAGAAAAGCTGGCAGGATGATGAAGGCCTATACAATGATGAATCGAAAAGCCCATCTGCATGATTTTTCATGAAGCAAAACGTAGTCGAGTAATCGATTATCCGTATATGGTCATCTTTATATATAAGGATACCCAATCATATATCCTGTTCGGCACTCTGTTTCAGGCAGTTTGTCGATAAGCCATTGTAGATTTACCTTGACGTCCCGACATGAACAATGCATTGTAGATTGCGTTTCTCTCTTTCGTTACTGGCTTAAAATCAAGGTTTCTGTAACAGGTTACATATCGCCAGGTTATAGCTGTAACTCATCGCTTGTGTGACTGCCAATATTTCATACTTGTTATCAACTTGGCACTCGATCTTCTGGGGATTCCACTTGTCCGGCCACATGTGAGACATGAAACATGCTATGTAGCTACAAAAATGTTCTTACTTATGCTGCCGCTGCCTAAGCGCGGGATAGGTGTGTGGCCGTGCGAACCCCATAGATATGTGCCGGACGAATACTAAGAACCACCGAGACCTGTTATCATCGTGTATGTAGCTTCACTCATTTTTTGTGCACAGCTAATTGTTGAACAACCTAAACCAGTGTGCTGGAGTTGACTTTGTTTGAAGCTTAGAAAAGTTATAGCGAGTTCTCTTTCCGAAAGCACCAATAGAGTCCATCTTAAAAGCATTGGAGATTACTCAAACCCGGTAGCACATTTGATCACTTCAAATTTGAGCTAGATGTATTTAGTTGCCAGACACACTCGTTGATGAGTTGTGTTTCATTGTGTAAAAATACTCTTTGCTGTTTGGTAACTAATGAGGCGAATGTTCCGCTCATTTGATCACTTCAAATTTGAGCTAGATGCATTTAGTTGCCAGACACACTCGTTGAGGAGTTGTGTTTCATTGTGTAAAAATACTCGTTGCTGTTTGGTAACTAATGAGGCGGATGTTCCGCCCGTATTCTGAATTGTTCTCTTTCAACTCATGAGTTCAACTTAACTACTATCCACTATAACGTTAAAGCAAGATGGCTCAGTGGTTAGAAAGCGAATTTACTGACCAGAAGACCCGTGGTTCGAACCCAACGTCTGAATCTCGACTAATCCTGTCCAGACCTGGGTAGCCTCGTGTTTCCTTTGGGTGGCATGGCAGCCAGGCACCGGAAGGGTGCTACAAGTGAACGAATACCTTATCTTCACAACGATAACATAGACAGACATCTTCGGCTTGGCTCAACACGGTTGTCCATTTAAACGGATTTTCGTGTTTCCAGGCATCTGAAGCGTTTTCCTTCGTCAGATCTTACGTTTCAGATATCCGCTTAATAAGATTTCGTGACGTTCAGTAAAAAATTATGAAACATTTTATCATTTGGCTTGTCTCGATGTACCAATCACTGATACTAATCCAGAAGTTGTATGTCGTTTTTGGTAATGCAAGAACGGGGATTAACTTTTTTACTACCAACAAAAAACTCAACAAGTTTTACGAGCACTCCCTACTGTAGGGCATCTCGCATGCCACCAAGCGATGATTTTGATATGCTCAACTTAGCCTCATTCCAATAGATACTTGGAGGAGTTCTGAAGAGTGCCGTTACTAATGGTCAAGAATGCTACTCACCTGAAGATTTATAGTTTGCGTAATACCGCACGATCGGCCACGGTAATCTTCAGTCGCGTGATAGAGGACCTCATGGGCAGGAATTCTGTAGTACGCAACCCGTTTGCTTCCACTGAGCATCCAGATGACTATATCTGGAAGGCTTCTTTGAGGCTGGAAGGAAGAAATGGAAGAAACCACATCACCATTTTGCTATAGCAAACGATAAAGAAACGATACAGGAACGGATTCGGTTTGCATACAGGCCATACCTCAACCGATAAGTTCAGAATGGCGTCATGATAGCTTTTCAGCTGCGTTAGTGCATCTTCAATTGTTGACACGGTTTCTCTCGTATGTATTGCCTGAGCGTGCAAAGAGCGTAGTTCGGTTTCGCGCATCTTTCGTAGACATCTATCTAGTTCTGTTTCTGGACTGTTTTCTGCTTCCCATGGTGGCAGAGGACGGCTAGATTAAATAAGCAAATTGATTAATTAATAAACTGATAAATAAGAAATAAATAAACAAAGGAATTACAGGCAAAGGCCGTGTGTTGTGAATTGTCCAACAGATACTATCAAACACACAGAGGTGAGCATTCACTTATAAATTGAGATGGCAATAAAGGAATCTCTCGTTCATAATATGCTTAGGAGAATTGTGGTATATATTATCGATCACATTTCATGATCTCAAGTTATACTTGCTGGGTAGTGGTCGAAAGATTACTGATACTTTACCATGGGAACATTTGCTGATCATTGGTGTTTGATCGGTTGCATGGTTTCTCAACCTTACTGTGTTCGTATTGTCTCAGCCGTACCGAATCCCACAATGATTCTACCATGAAAGTGCACAACCGACTGCACTATTGTCCCCGTAATAACCAGTGCCCTCAAAAACACCGTGTGTAAGACTCGAGAATGAAGTCTGATCTGTAAAGATAATGTGGACCAATCAGATCACCTGGTAGAAAAATCAATAAGGTGAATTGTTGATGAACTGAAACTTAAGCTGTCCAAACTTATATAGTTTACGGTGTTCGCAAACTGATTTAATTCTTTCACCGTGTGGTGGATTCAAACCTATAGGGGACTGTCCTGTCGGTCATTAGATTCAACCTGCCACCCTCCAGATCACGCACTCCACAACCCATCGAAATACTCGATGGATCTAATAAAACTCCTGTCGGTCATTAGATTCAACCTGCCACTCTCCAGATCACGCACTCCACAAACCACCGAAATACTCGATGGATCTAATTATTTGTGTGATAAAATTGAGATTAGGGTTGATGGAACAATGAGAAAAAACTTAAAGGTGCAATTCAGCAACGTTGTGTTGCACGATGTTTCGGATTAATTGTGCTGTCTCATCAGGCGTGTAATACAGGTCACACTAATACACAAATGAAAAATGAAAAAAATCACTATGCCTACAGTTTACCACAATAGGGTCAATGAAAAGAAAAGCTGTTTCTGTCTACCCACATCTAGCTTACGTTTGCTAATGGTGTACCGGTGATATTACTGATGGGAGGCATGCGAGTAGTATGTGTTGTCGGAATTTCGCTTTGCGTCTCCTGAAAAGGGGAGATCTGTTGCGGAATTCGTGGAATCGCTCTGTAACATTTGCTTGGATTTGAGCAATGAATGATTGGAGTCAATGAATATCCAGGAAATTTCAAGAAGACGCGTTCAGGAGAAAATGAATGTTTTCCAGTTTCTGTAAATAAGATCCAAATGAGGATTTTGTTTCCCTGTCCAATAGTCTGTGACCGGTCGGTTGGCATTTTTAGAGGATAACTCCGCAGCGAAGGCCTTCTTTTCAATGGTGGTGGCCTTCCAGAACTCCAGAACTCTGATACTTGATGTGATGATATTAGATGTGGTTGCTGGACCGATGTGGTGCTTATTGTCACTCGGATGACGGGAAAACGGTCAGTGTGGCAGGGAATGACGATGTGACTTTAGTGTTGTGTCATTGTGTCTAATCAAAAAGTCGCGCCATTGGGCCAAAGAAATCTGCATTAATGATATTTCAACGGGAACTCAATAATCCTGGAAATACTTTGGGGTCCGGCGACTATCCCGAAGTACTCATCAGGATGTACAGGCACCCCAGGCTGAGGGCGTCGGTACTGCGCCTCAGACTGACGTCCTCGTTAAACTACCGTTCAAAGTGAACGATGTCAGTAAGGACATAAGCTATCTGACTGCTGCAGTGTGGACGGCCTACTAACTGTCAGGTCAGTCACAGGACAAATCGAATCCCGGAGTTGCCAGCGTCCGCCAAACCTGCACATCTGGCGAGTCACATGTGGATGCGCGGCCACACAGCAAGAGTAGTCTAGGCTGGTGGGGGGGCACGCCTCGGGGGTAGCTGAAACAATTAGGCGCACTGACACAGCCACAAGGTCAAGCAAGGTCACATCGTCCTGTCCTGCTGACCTAGTTGTTTGCCCATCATCCGAGTAACAACAAGTGTCACATCGATCCAGGAGCTCCATCTGACACCGCGTTCAACACATCAAACAGTAGAGTTATGGAGTTCTCTCGATCTGGGCGGATAGAAGTGGCTTTTCTTCGCGTTGACAAACTACAGACATGGTAGTTTTCCTCCCTTTCCATCTATTTATTACTGCAATCTCTATCACGCGTTTGATGAGATAAGGAAATGAATACGAAGTTTCATGCAGTACAGCTTTGTTGCACTAAATCCTGAAGTTCTGGTTTAGCCGTATCTCATTATCTCTATGTTCAATTGTATCGCATACCGAGTGTTTCATTGGGGTGGGTAGCGCTTGATCTGGAGGGTGGCAGGTTGAATCTAGCAGCCAACGTGACGATTTACCCATGTCCAGTTGATGGACCCCCACAAGTACGAAAGATCTCGTATGGCTCACATTTTCAGCATCTTCACTGACGGGTTTGGCTACGAGTGTTTGAATAAAAGATACGAAGTCCACAAACTAGGTGGGAAGGATACCCTTTGGTTCTACTGGATGGAGAAATCAGCCATCAAGAGTTGGTACCCTGACCAATTCTGACAGGGTTGAGAAGGCCCTTCAAGAGTAAAGCAACTCCGTGGTCAGTCGACCTTTACAGGAGGGTAACAAATCTCTCAAAAAATCTTAGAAGAAGCGATGAGGGAACTTCCTCTAAATGTTTCTTTTTCTACAGGAAAATTGTCCTTTTCTTACCTGCAGTCCATGATAAATTCATCCAACGAAGCAATCGCGAGTTGGGCCTGTTCTTCGGGTATTAGAGCAGCGGTGACAGCCACGTTGATTTTTTCGATATTCCTGGCCTTAAACACGAAGCAACGTTTAGTGAATTGGGTGTAGAATTATTGAAATAAAAATAGTACAGCCTAATACCGTTGAATCTAAGCTCAGGTTCATTAGATGTCTGACGCCCAGTTTGATATATCCTAGTGAATATACGCAATGTCACATAGATAAGTTTGTACTGTGTTTATTTATTTATTTGTTTGTACTTTCGGCAATCAGAACTGAAACATATTGAAACATACAGGAACCCGTATGGCATGTGGTCACGACTGGTCCTTGATTAGAATACTGAGGTTCTGAGGTGGGATTCTAAATGAGTCAAGGTGAATTTGAAGTGTCCGATATGGGGTGCCTAACCCGTGACATTTGACGCAGTGTTCGGAATCCCCAAGGACATCTTAAATTATGAATGAGCTATTTTATGACCTTCGCCTGAACAAGGTGTGGCAAAGTAGAGGACTCTATCCCATGGGAAACAAAGAAGCTTCAGTACGAAAGTTCACCTAACAGGATAATAAATCAACCACTTTTTCAATATATTTGTAGCACTGACTTCCCATCTTCTAATAACACAAGGTCAAATCACCTGCATAACTTAATTAACGTTGCAACAGACGTTTCACGTTACAACCCATAGAGGTAAGACCCTGGAAGCGGTTGTTTATCGCTGTGCAATAACTTGTTCACAAAACTTCTCAGAGTTCCTTCGGTATTTTATCCTTGTGTTTCACATGTGAGCGGCATTACTGGCTTCAGCTTACTGCCCTTTTCACAAGCTAAAATAATCAGAATTCTCTGATATTTTAAAGCTCATATGTGTGATAAAATTACTGGAGCTTAAGACTTGATGGGGTCTCTTGTTGTCGATAGCACATTGATATTCTCCGCCCCACAGGCTGCCTTGAGGTTCCCTTGCGAAGATGTTTAGCGAATTTTGAGCCATCATTTTCGAATACAAAAGAAACTCACAAACGAGAAGTTCAGCTGGGTTCCAGGTGAGTCTCTCGCAAAATCAAATATCTTCGCAACAGAGGCAACTATGCCTTCTCTTTCAGATTTAGTCACGTGGGACATTCCTTCCAAACAACACAGCGCAATGACTTACCAGCCTGTCCGCAATTTTCAGAAGCATATTAACCGCGCACAACCGATGGGATATATCCTCCCACTGTGAATCAACCACGGTGCACGGTTTATCATTTCCCCACGGTAGATAGTAGTAGGCCTGGCCATCGTATACCGGGTTTGTCGGCGGTGTGGTCGAAGCACACGGAGTGATAGATTCGTCCAGTTTATTTCCATGATTTCCGATGCTGACTTCGAATTCCACAGGGGAACCGGTCTCTTCGGATATCATTGTGGCTGACAAAAAAGCTGTATAGAGGCGGTATTTTCTTCTCCTCAACGATTTCTTTAGTAAAGAGAGGACAGTTTGCAGCCAGTTATCACCATAGTTCAGAGCCACACAATGCATTTTCGACATGCTTTAAATAAGTCGAAAAGTCCACTAGCGACTGTGATGAATTAGTTTAGAGTCATTGATTAACCCAAGTGAAAGTTATTAAACTTTATGAAGTGGAAAAGGACTTGGTAGATCTTTGTAATGTGCTACTCATAGGGTTGCTGAAAATCTGTCGACAGCTCACGACCGGTTCCGCTCTTTTTGGGGCTCATCAAGTAGGCGCGGTCCCCGGGTTTCCGTCAACCTTATGTTCTACTTGGGGCTGTCGACGGATTTTCAACAACCTTATGAGTACTACATTACAAAGATATACATGTATCGAATATCGTAGCGACTGAAACATGGGGCTGCCTGGTACAGCACATTCAGTTGCCTGAAGACATCACAAACGAGAGACTCAGCTGGGTTCCAGGTGAGTCCTACAAAAAAAACAAATTAGTTTGCAAATGAGTGTATATTCACTGACTTGGCAAATCCCCAATTGAGAAGACTCGTTACGTGTAGCATGAAAGAAAAGACACTTAGTGGACGGACTCCACAAACGGGACTGAGCCACCGAAGACGCTCGATTTATGCTACATTTATGCTTCTCGTTTCAAGATTCAACAACTCCACCCTCTACTTTCAAACAACTTTCTAACTAATACGACCTGGGTACCTGAAAGAAATCAGCGCCACATTATGGGTGTCACATAAGGGGACCGTCAACGACAATAACACATATTAACTGTTAATACACTAAACAGAAGTATGGGGAGTGAGCTGTGAATTTGATTTAGTGGGAGAGGATCGAGCAATACAGTGCGAAAATCTGGGTAGACTGCCCGTTGATAGGACTTTGAAAAGTGGGTGCCTATTGTAATCGTTCTGGGAGAGGATGCACAGATGAGTGAGCTGTGAATTTGATTTGCGTGGGAGAGATCGAGCAATACAGTGCGAAAATCTGGGTAGACTGCCCGTTGATAGGATTTTGAAAAGTGGGTGCCTATTGTAATTGTTCTGGGAGAGGATGCACAGATCCAACCTTTGCTCTGGACAGATTATTAAGCGCGAACACTAGTTTCGGCGGTGGAAGCAGCTATTTTTCTTTACCGAAAATCTGTCGGGCATTACAGGAGTGTCAAACCAGTCAGAACCAACGACTGTGCTCAACGACTTCGTTTGCTTGGACAGCTGCATCAGCCTGGATAACTAAGCTAGCTTTGGCATCCGTGGAACAAGCTCCCAGTGCGCCAATGTGCCCCATATATTTCTGATGTTCGAAGATGTGATCAGTGGAAATAAACTTCCAGAAGTTAACCGTTCGTGTCTCCGAAGTAGTCATCGCTTTAGAAGGAACCTCATGTTAACAGTTCTCACAAGGATATGAATAAAAGGGTCATATGAACTATTACCAGGCTAGCCTGGTAGCGCGATTCACCCATACCAAAGAGCCATTTTAACCAAACTTGTACAGGGCTGAAATTATTAAGCAGCGAAGCACGAAAATCAAAACCAGCAAGCTCAATGGCGTTGGTAGATGCTGTCGCGGGAACCACGAAACTATAGAACCCGGCAGATATATATTGTACATACATACCTTCAGTGCATGACTGGTACCCTCAGATATTTGTACCAATAACAAACTGCCCATTGTGAAAGCTGAAGTCACATTTCAAAGGTATTCGCTGTTACGACCAATTTGTGGGTGTTGATTACCCAATCCCAAATCGCTGAATGAAACAATGGTTCGCCATGCAAAATTCATTTAGTTGATAGCTGTTGCTGATACTGCTGTCGACTTTTTTTGCAATCGGTTTGGAAAACACGTTCGCCAGAAATCGGCATCTGCCTGAGCGTTTGCCTACTTTAATGTGCAGTCGTAAAACCAACGACGCCAAATGATATAATATAGGCACCTATTATTTATAATGTGCAATAATGAGATATGAAGAATTGTAGAAAAGTCAGTGAAGTGTAGCCGGCCTTCCTCTAGGTGACGAAAATCATGGGAATAAGTGAATAGGCCTATGCAATGTGCAGCTCCTTAGAGAAGGACAAAGAGGGAATTCAGATGAGGAGCAACGTCATACAATACGAAGGTGTTAACGAAATAAACTCTTTTGCAAACTAATCTGGTTTTTGCGAGATACTCACCCAGAACCCAGCTGAATCGCTCGTTTGTGATGTTTCCAGGCAACTGAATGTGCTGCACCAGGCCGCCTCATGTTTCACTCGTTGCGATATTCGAGATATCACGATACACGTGTATTCGTAATGCACTACTCACAAGGTTGCTGAAAATTCGTCGACAGCCCGCAACCGGTTTCGCCCTTTTTGGGGCTTATCAGGTAGGCACAGTCCCCGAGTTTCCGTCAACCGTGTGTTCTACTTGAAATACAAAGGTATTTTTTTGGTCCCGTGGTTTTTATGGTTCCCGTTTTACTGGGACAATGGTCTCTCAGCAACGGTCTTGTACACTATGCAGTGAGTAAAAAGCACTTCGTCAAGGTTTTCAATAGAGAACTCGGTGAATTATTCCCACAGTAGTGGCTACCGTGACGGTTTTGTCTAAACTACTCTGGGATAAGAAGAAAAACTACTCGTGAGAGCATCGAGAACGAATTTTTTTCACACGAGAACCACAATAACTTTTCTGATAGCAGGTGAATAGTAGCCGTTAATTCAGTAGCATTTTAATTCCGTGTCACAGGAATTGTACCTTCAGTTTTACCGTCAGCTACAGCCACTGTTGTTAAACTCACTAGACAGTGAGATGTTCAACCCCTCACGCACACAAAAACCTGGTCATCCGTGCAAGCTCCCCACAAGCAGTTCCTGATCTTTGGTCCCATCGACTTCTCTGAGAAATTGCACATTTACGAACTCACCTTGATAAACAAAATGAAGCAGTTATGCTTATATTTAGCGTGCTAGCGGTGAATGGCACGAAAAAAGCTTATCCCAGCTTCTACTGACTAAGGATATGTGGGTGTTTGGGGGCGGGGAGAACTGTTTGACGGCGTTGAATTTTTCAGGAGGGATAAGCACTACCCAGTCGCTGAGAACGGAAAATTTCCAGCCACTGATGATTATCGAAGACGTTTAAAAACCAGTGGTTATGAGCAAAACGTCTAGATGCCTAGAGGCTAAGACCAAATGGATTTCACATTCCTCTTGGTAGATTACTTAGATAAACATGAGTTGTGGCATTAGGCGGGACGCAAGTAGATATAATGCTATAGTTAGTGCCACTTTTTGGTTGTTTTTGGAAGGGATGTCCAGCTATTGCTGTATGGTAGTCTCAATAGGAGTGGACCACTCCGGAGCAAATGACAAATTTGAGGGAGGGAACCATCCCCCTGGGAAAGGCGATCTTGAATCTGTTGACTAACTGTCGAATTCTTAGATGGAGTGGCAATTTCACTGACGTCACCGTAAAACGATACAATGATGCAGTGATAATGGTAGAAATATCACAGCTGACACCCGGACATTGGATCACAGTAAACAGACAGTGAGCCAAGAGCCGAAAGTTTTGCAATTTTGAGACTTGTTGGTTGAGGTCTGATGAGATCACATGAGAAAGGGGAGTGACTGATAAGATTGGGTGTCTCACTCTCTCTGTGGAGTGTCTTCGTAGAATCAGGTATCTGTTTGAAACGAACTGTTTTTAATTTTCCCAAATGGCTCACCTTCCAAGGGCGTTCAAAAATTTCTACTACTTCGTCCTGAGAGAAAGAGCGCTATCGTGGTAAATGTGTACATCGTGGAACACAAAGAACACACTCCCAAATAAGCTACTTAGAGTTATGGAAAAGTTCAATTGCAACAAATTAATGCCCACTGTGGCCAGCCTCTTCATAATGGCGAAAAAAGTGGCCTTATTCGAGAACTGGTCGCATTCTAGCAGGAAAAGCAGCTAAATACCCTACCCTATGTAAGTTTTATGGTTGTAAAATCCACGCTGAGATCAATCTCGCTTGAACAGTCGTCCTACTGCTCTGGCACAAACATTCTGATAAGTTCACACCAAACGGAGGAAGCACTGGATTAGAGTTTCGCTGTTCTTAAAGCTTAGCAGAGCTCATCCTTGACCGTGCCATGGTTTGAACTCGGCATGCGAGGCAAGCGTGTTACCGCAACTCCACCACGTCTGAAAAAGCGAACTTGCTCCCCCTCGAGTGATGTGATTGGTTGCCCCGATGGCTCGAACGACGACCCACTAACTGTCCTTTTTGTGTCGATCGATTGGCCCATTTGTCAAGAATTCCTAGTCAGATGTGAGCTGAATTCTACAAATCCTACAAATAATATTCTGGTTATATCGTTAGAAGGATCCTTACGAGGAGGGCCGTCAGGTAAAAGGATGAGTGAAATTTACTGCGGTAGAAGGTGAACAGCGTTTTTATTGGTTGAGTACGAAGTGCGTGAAAATCGCACACTCTCCAACATCTAGTCCTTCATCGTACTGATATTCGGTTTACCGTTTCGCAAAATAGTCGTAATTCGTTGGGAATGTAGTCGTGTAAGTGCGGTTTTCAAGTTCAGGTTTCAAGACCCCATCATCTAACGGTCAACTGCATATCGATGCGATTTGACATTTTTTAACTGACCTGTATGCGCGCGATCGTGTCCGACTCCAAGGGTTTGACCTCATTTTTCACCGGTTCTTCCAACAATTCCGTAATCAGTTCCAGGAGGACCCGACCGCGATACGCGACCCCTTCACCTTTGCCCAAATTCAAGGCTACATACTTATCAGGTAAATCGGAATATTCACGAGGTGAACCGTAGAGGTTTACGAAGCACGGCCCGAAAGTTGGCAAGAAACCTTTAAAGAAGAGGCAAAGTGGTCAGTTTAGCTTACGAAACCAAGATGGACAAGTGAGAGACTTTGTGCACTTGACACATGTGTGGACTAATTGAATCTTGTGTAGGGANTGGACTAATTGAATCTTTGTGTAGGGAATTAGGTGCATAGGTCTCAAGCATATCCAATAATGAACATAAAACTATCGATCACTGACCCACAAATGTGCACAAATCTGGGCCAAAAGCATTTTTACAAACTAACTACATGCATCAGTGTTGGTGTCAGCATACCTTCGTTACCTGTGGATAAGAAACAAAAGATTGTAGGGAGATTTTTCAGCACGTGAAACGTAATGCGGATTGAATAAAAGTCAGTTCGCAACTGAATGGGATTTAAAATTTTGAGCAAACTGATGACCGGCAACTAATTCAACTAGGCCAGGGTTTTGTGACCCGTACGGTGTCAGATAAGTGTGTTGATCAGCAAACGTCATCCGAAGAAGAAATTCATCCAATAAGCCGATGGATTGCGTAGGTCTAATTGAGGGTGACTGAAAATTTCTAGAAGATACATCTCTCAGGGCTCAAAAGATAGTTTCACCAAATAAATTCTAGCTGGTGAGTAGATGTATACATGCGAAAGTGGATGCGCCTTGCAAGGCGCCACAAAAGGAACTGACTGTCCCTAACGAGCGTGTGTATCCGTATGGTAGTAGTATTACGTGAAGCTGCGTGAAGCCCAAACCTGAACCCATAACTATGTGTTGTCAGTTGGGTGATAATTAGTACAGTCGTGTGGGCGTCGCAAACCACAAGTCCATCCATCACCTACAGTTTGTAGTCACAGCTATCAACCCAGGTGGAATCACGTTGGGTTATACAATATCTAATTGCATTGAATCAAGATAAGTATAAATGCCACTCCCAGGATTTTTCAACAAACAGTTCCCCGAACTCATGAACATATGCACTCGATCATGGTCAACTTAGACAAAAATATGCATGAACCTATCTGTTATGAGCTGACACTCATGGATAGCATGAAAACTAACTATTATGACACTCTTACCACGAGCTAAGCCTTGATCGTGGTATCCAAAGTCGATCAGATTAAATGGTTACCCTATACAATGGTATTATATAGAGTGTTCCAAAATAGCGAAAGGAATCCTTCTTGATTTAGATTCGTGTCAAACCTAATTGTTTGGATTTTTGAAAAGGGACTTTGAATAGTGTTTTACGACAGTTTGATCCATTCTGTATGTTTTGGTTATTCAAGGATATATTTCGATGCTAGTTCTATTTCCAGCGTTAGTTTTGCTTTCGAAAACTTGGGGATTTCTATGAAGTGAGTAGTTTTGCTCGGTCCCTTATATATGTATGTGATCTTGGGATGGACCAGTGTGTGAAATCCAGGGATATTCAAGAAAAAAATGAATGAGCGACTGTTTTACTCTTGTTGAGATCTTTCAGTGGAATCGATCGAGATCCACACATCAGCTGACTGTGGTATAACGTTCATTCGCGGTTAGTAGGCTTGTTGAACATGTGGAGTCCGTTCGAATTATACGTAACTCCCTACTCATTAGGGTGCTAAAAACTGTTCGACAGCTTACGAGTAGAACATAAGGTTGATGGAACCTTGGGGACTGCGCTTGCCTGATGAGCCTCAAGAAGGACCAAACCGGTCGTGGGCTGTAGAAGGGTTTTCAGCA